TATGTTAGAGGAGTCACTGACAAGATTGGCTACATCTTGAAGCGCGCTTCCATCAAAACATACTTCAAGCCGCCGAAGAAGATTGGTCAGTTTTTACCATCAGTCAAGTGTAACGTCCCTCTGCAAGATGCAGGAGTGTACAAGCTTGATTGTGAATGTGGTCTCTCCTACATAGGACAAACTAAAAGATCCATTAAAACCCGCGTCAAAGAACATATAGCTGATGTGAAGAATCGACGCTCCGGGAAGTCTGCAGTCTGTGAACATGTACAGGATCGCCCCCGTCACTACATCAGATTTGATAGACCACAAATCCTCGCTAAAGAACACCGATTCCTTCCAAGGATGATTCGCGAGGCTATTGAAATCAAAAAACATCCTAATTTCAATAGAGAAGATGGCTGGGTGCTACCATCTGCTTGGGATCCTATAATAAATAAAATTAAATCCCAACCCAAGCATACAACTGCAAGACTCCATGATACCATAAGTTCATACTGTGTAGATCGGAACAAAAAGTTAAATTTTAATCTATGGTAACCGCGGTTAACTATGACAGCTGGACGTTGAACATCTCAGTCCTTCCCGTGACCATGGGTGCTGTAAAGCTCTCGAAACGTCGGGTAATTAAAAAGTTAAATATACGCGATAAATTCCGTAAAAACTAGTATTATTACAGCGAGCACTTAAACTTTGAGCAACCACGGCTCTTACCGTTATGGGATTGCAAAAAAATATAATTCCATATTATGTCAAACACTTCTGTGTATACTACTAGAGGTCTTGCGGTCTTAGTACTTTACGCACTGAGTTACGGTTAATTCTGCTTAACTCCTTTAGTCGACTACGAGTGGACGAACAAATAATTTTTTATTTTGTAAACCGCAACCATAGCTTTCGAAAACCTAACACTGATTTTATTCAATGTGACTAAAAAAACGTTGTCATTATTGATTTGCGCACGTTGTCAACGTGATTTGACGTTTAATTTTTTATATTTGCCTAAAAACAGTAACTTTTTGTAAATAAAAATTCAATAGCGTGGCATATTTACTGTGTCAGTTACCCACGTAAAATTGTTAGGTTTTAATGTTTAGATTCGTAAACCCAATTTATTACGCCTGCGTTGCAAGCAAAAACAATAACTGAACGAGCTTGTTCTTAAGAACAAAGAAAGCCTTTTAAGTGCAGAGCAAATGATGTTAGAGTCGCGGATGTAAGTGTCTGTACCGTATGAATATGAAGGTTACGTTCAACTTGTTTAGTTCATTCCTTGGAAAGTAATTTCACTGTTTTTTGTTGTGGTCTCCATTTAAATATGTTGTAGCTTAACTCAATTTATAAATATAATAAATTTAGAAGTATCCACCCATTAAGATCGATAGATAGAGAACTATATACACAATTGTCGAATTCTCCTTATAATAAAGCCGACAAACGAGCACACAGACCCCCTGATTCCTAGTGGATGTTGTAGTCCATAGGCATCTACATCTATCCTCAATTAAGTGTCAAAGTATCCAGTTCTCTAAACTCACCATACAAAACATAGCAGCATTAAGCTGGTATTTTATGCTGGTACTGTGTAAGAGCGTGGTTCTTCCCCTTTCGAGCTGACTCATACTTGCTACAACTAGCTGCAGCGTGGACTTACCACGTATAAAATGTACTCTTTTATTGTATTAAGTACTAAAACATTTAGAAACAGCACGGTAGCGATTACCTTATTTCCAGGGGTTGTTATTAGTATTATATTATAATATACTTAGCAGTATAATAACATACATAATATATAGTATATACATCGAACATCGCGACAAAACTCGAGATAACATCCTTACCATCTGGATGACTGGCGGTCCACCACAGTGCGGTTTAAAAGAAGTTTTCTTCCTTTCACACCTTCTTGTGGAATCAAGTTCCACCAGAGACTTTTCCGGAGCGATACGAATAGGGGACCTTCAATAAAAGAGCCTACTCCTTTTTTAAAAGGCCGGTTCATGGGCAACTGCTTTTTATTTTGACTTACTCTAGGCTTAGACGTTAATATCTTTAAAATTTTATCATTAATATAATCGTAGAACCAATATCTAGAAAATTATTTTAATATGGGGGCACATCAACGTTTTGACATTGATTAATGTACTAAAAGATTGTCTGCTTTGTTACTTTGGTTTATTCAGAGATGGCTTTTGAGTGATTTACGCGAAGATACGACTTATTTCCGTAATAAAGTACTAAAAAAATCTTATATTGCGATTTTCAATATAAAAGATGGATGCGACCCGTACGTAATAAAATATGGGAAACTTGTTATTCTAATATATAAAATAAATATATGTCTGTTCGTATTTTATCCGCTTCAATACCGTACATCAGATTGCGGTAAAACTTTGTGAACTTATTGCTTGGACTTGCGCTAAGGTTATAGGCATAGTCAGACCCGGTAGGTGGCGCTGCTGTGAATCCAAATGTCCCCCGTGCGAACCCGGGACAGACCGCCAGTATGAAATAAAACTGTGAGAATAACTTGTTACTTTTTAATATTTTGTAATTCCGTTAAGTCATTAATAACAAGAAGATGTTGAACCGATATTCAGATCATAATTTCATATAAATCTAGTACGGCGTTTTTATCACTATTCGTTGTTTGAAAATAATCATCATGACAGTCTTTCACACTCCCATTGCTGAACATACATTTCGCCCAGAAAATATCACAACACGTAGTCCTGAGCTTTTCCAGACATCTATGAAGTTTTTGACTTCATTCGCAAAATATTGGAGAAACATTCCTCTAAAAATCATATCACTCAACTCTAATACTCTAAGGCTATATAGAATATTAAATGTTTTCTTGTTAGTTTATTTTTGCTTTTCTTTTACTGCATTCGAAATGTAATCACTGTCGCAAGGTTGATAGTCCAGGCTTTACTGTTGCTTTAGCGTTGAATTCTGCTTTTATTCCTACTGAGTACATGTTTTCTTATATAATAGTCGTAAGGGTAACAAATGAATGCTGTGGCCTAAAAAACTAAGTTAAAATGCCTCGTTTCCAATAAAAATTGTCTTCGGTTCCTTGCACTCACTATATAAAACACAATAACATTAGCTAGGAGCTATTTTATGCCGGTAGTCTGTTAGAGTGGCCTACGCTGTTCGAGCTGACCCATTCGTACTACAATCATAATAGTTTTAGCTGCCACGTTGATCTCCCGCGTATATTTTAGGTTCAATAAAGAATAATGAAAGTTTTCACTTCACTTTTGGCACATTTTGTTATAAAATTTTATACAAAAAAGACCGGAACAATATTCCAATCTACGGAACTGCTACTGACTAACTCAATGTTTTTGCAGTGAACCGCTTAATTGAAAACTTTTAATGGAAAACGCACATCGTGTTCCCGGCAGTAAACTAAAACAAAAAGTGTTTTAAAAGTTATGGTTTTAGTATTGTTTACATAAAATTAAACTGAGAAGTGATATTACAGTCCACCTGCTGGTTAGTGATAACTGCAGTCCCTCATGCAACCAACTTCAAACAAAGAAGGCTACTCTGTGTTGTCACCTCTGAGGACTAAGATTGAATTATTTTCAGTTTGTTATTATACTGGAACTCTATACCCTTCGGACCGAAACAGAGCATTGCACGACTACGCATCGATGATAGATGTAGATGTATATGGACCAGAGCATCCACGATATAAGGTCAACGATATGCTCAAAAAAGGAACACTTTAATCATCTAACCACCTACTATACCCGATGAATATAAGCAAGAGTCAAATCTACCTCTTGATTGGTTAAGGCTACAAAGGGTTTGTTTTAATGCTGTTTCTAAATGTTTTCAAAACAATTGCATAAATGTTATATAGTAAGTTATGCTTTTAAAGGTTCCGCTGGGTTTCTTACTAGTTTTTCCCAGGACAGAGGTTTCTTCTAAACCAGTAATAACAAACCCCGATGAATTCATAAGTAGAACAGGAGTCTTACCATTCATAAACTGTTTGTAACTGTCCATAAACAGATTGAGCATAGAAAATTTAGAAAGAACGACGTCATTATTTTCATTCACAGGTATAGACCAAACGTCGGTGCCTCTTCGCTAGACGGATTAAAGATTTGTGTAAGGCAGCTTGTAGTAACTGGATGGTTGATGTCGAAGATCGAACAATTCTCGTATCGTCGCATCCTGATAATGGTGATAGGTGTAGATGGGTCATACACAAAACGTAGTTTGGGATTTGGGTAATTTTATATCCTTTCATATTTTACCAAAATCAATTTATTCCGAAAGATAAGCTCTCAAATAGGGAAATGATAACAAAAAACTAGATCGTTTGAGCTTTTTATCAAAAATACGAAATAAATAAAAACTTTAAACATAAATCAGGTCCACAGAAGTGACGTAATTGTCTACAGAAGAGAAAATAATCGTTATTTTACCTAAAAAAGGGTAATATTTACGCTTTGAAATTAATATTTCTACTCTTCTTAGTATAGTTATTTAAAAAAAAAACACTAAAAGTGTAAAACTAGGAAGTTTTATTTAATTTGACAACAATTAAAACAATATTTTTCCGTACAACCACAGAAGTGACGAAATTATTGTCCACAGAAAATAAAATATTTGTTAATCTTATCATAATATGATTTTTATCATTTAAAAATCATTAAGGCTATTCTCAATTTTAGATAAATAATCAATAACACTTAAAAACTAGTCACTTTGGCTTAATTTTACTAAAATAACACTTAAAAGTAAGGATTATCCTTACCACAACAGAACTAATACTTATAGTTACACAAATTACAAAAATAATATGTTAATTACTACTAATAAAGAAACGATTCCGTCTTATTTAGAAGAAAATAACTAATCATCATTATTTTCATAAAAATCCTGCAAAAAGTTTCATAAAATTTTATCAATAATTATATAAAAATTTATTTATTAGCGATTTCATTATTTTCGCCACTATCGAATTTCTTTTTTATTCATTTAGTTTTCTTTGGTCTTTTAGGTTTATTAGGTGATGGTGGATTATCCGATTCATCGCTGGAGCTCCGGGTAAAGAATCTTTTTCTGATCGGTTGAGGTAACAAAGCTTTAAAACTTTTACGTTTCTCAAATGAAGTAAAATCATTAGTCATCGTTAGAGCTACGGCAGAAAAACCGTTTGTTGTTATTTGGGGTCTCATGATTGTTGAAGTTTTAGATATTTTCGGTGATGATGGGAAAAAATCATCAACGTTTAGGCGTTTCTTTGGAGTTTCTATAAGACAATTTAATGACGGCAGAGATGGTGTTTGAATTAAAGATGGCGTACTTGGTCCAGATACACTGGAGGCTGCAGCCGTTCTAGGAGAAGAAGCTCGGCTTGATGAAGGTATCCCAACTGGAGAATAAGTAAGAGTATGCTCTGGAGTATGGGCGTCAGGCGATAATTGTACAAGTATGGGATTTGCGACTAGTTGAACTTGTATTATTCCCATCTAAAAATGTTGCTTTTAATCCTTCAATTGGCGCCTGTTACGGACTACTACTACACGGATACTCGTGGGAAAAAAAAGAGCGCGAAGAGCATGAACTTGATGGTGGAGTATTTTCGCTTAGCATATTTAATCTTTCTTGTAACTTTTTTTTCTGTCACGTCTAAGTTTCGACTTTTTGCTCTACATTATTCTTTTAGCGTGATATACTTATTTTAATTAAAACTTCTTCTTTCTTTTTATGGTATCTTTCACAGCCTTTCTTCCATCTTTCTTCTAAGGAAACTTAATCAAGTCTTGCCCTAGCTCGGCGCATGCTTAATTTTTTTTTGTTCACGACGCGCTTTTTCTTTGGTTTCGCACTTAAATTTAATTTAATTCTGCTTGAACGTGGTATATTTTCAAAATCAGCTGTAGCAAATAAGCCTCACTTTCAGGACACGCCAAGTATAAAACGTTAAAATATTAAAATTAATATTTCATAATGCTATAACTAAATGTAACACTTAAGTACTTTACGTACCTATAAATGATATTAAACCCAAGCAATAAAACCTCCTATTATATTTTTAAGTGAGAAAAGTACACTTGATCTATAACAATTAGAGAATATTTTGAAAAAAAAAATTAAAAAAGCAGCGTAAACTTTTCTTCAGAAAATATTAAAGCCGAATAACAGAGCTACTAGGTGTTACCAGTTAAAAGTTTTAACGAGAAATGGTAGTTTTTAAACGAATTTACCAAGTGTGATTTTTATGTCAACAGAAGAGATCTAAAATCATATAACCGACAGTTATATATGTATGTCGTTGATTTTCTCGAACAGTCCACAGAAGGGGAACATCGTGAAATTGATTTCATTTTTGGCACAAAAAAAAATTCAAATATTATTTTTTTAATTAAGCACCAAGGTTTCGAAATATTGATTCTTACATGTCTAGTGTCTAGAAAAGAAATGCTAATCAAACAGTTTTTATTTTCAATCTGAACTGGCTTATGTGTATCACCCACATACATAAAGAAAATAGCAAAGTTGTCTTGAAACCTAGATTAATAGCAACACGTTCGATTACCTTACGAAAATGCAGGACTTTAAAGAAAACGATATATCGATTCTTAAAAGTGTGCAATGCGAATTTAAATATTTCATCGTAGTCCTGACAGGGGTGACAACTTATATGCATTTTAATTCTTAATTGATGTTAGATGGAGATTCTTAACTCCCGTATCGTCCCTTTACCGTTAAAAAAGTTTAAGTTAAAGTTACAGCCTATATACGTCCCATAGCTGTGCATCATCACCTCCTTTCATTTCTGAGAGGCTTTTAGAGCAAGGAAATTTTTTTTATTTTATTTCTTGGACATGCAAATTTTTCTTCACAGCCGAGCACATGATAAATCAGCCTTAAAAATTGCAATTAATAACTTTATTGGTGTCAGTGGAAATCGAATCTTGGTTGCTCGCCTACTGTGCAATTTACAGCGCGCACTTAAACTTTGAGCTACCACGGCTCTAACCATTATGGAACTGCAAGACGGGTCCTGCGGTCTTAGTACATTGCGCACTGAGTTATGGTTAATTCTGCTTAAATCCTTTAGTCGACTACGAGTGGACGAACAAATATTTTTTTTTCTTTTGTAAACCGCAACCATTGTTTTCGATACTGATTTTGTACACTATTACTATTTATTTTTTTTTATTATTTTTTTTTATTACTACTATAGATAGATCCCGGACTTTGCGTGATACTTCTCAAATGAACAAAAATTTATTTTTCTATTTTTGTTATGTTTTCCTAAAAACATAAATATCAATTCTTTATGAAAGAAAAAGAAAATTTATAAAAGTGATTATTTCAAATTTTGTTTTTTTAATTTTAATTTGTTTTTTAACATATTTATTTTAAGCAATTTTTACGCATGCCACAAAAGGCAAAACATGTGGAAACAAATATTGACTCTGTATCCATTCGTCTGTACCCATGTTTTAGCGAAATAAATGATTTGATTTGATTTGATTTGAAAAAAAAAAACAATGTGAACGTGGTGATTATTGATTTGCGAACTTTGTCAACGTGATTTGAAGTTTAGTTTTTTTATATTTGCCTTAAAACAGTAACTTCTTGTAAATAAAATTTAATAGCGTGGCATATTTACTGCGTCAGTTACCCGCGTAAAATTGTTTGGTTTAAAGTCTATATTCGTAAACCCAATTCATTACGTCTGCGTTGCAAGCAAAAATAACTACTGAACGAGCTTGTTCTTAAGAATAAAGAAAGCCTGTTAAGTGCAGAGCAAATGATGTTAGAGCCCCGAATAGATAGCTAGATAGCTTATTTCGTTCCTTGGAAAGTAGTTTCACCATTCCGCGTTGTGGTCTCCATCTAAATATGTTTTAGCTTAATTAAATTTATAATTGTAATAAATTCAGAAGTATCCACCTATTCAGATTGATAAATAGAGAACTATATACAAAATTGTCAAATTCTCCTTAGAATAAAGCCGACAAACAACCACACATTCCTCTATTCTCGATTAAGAATCAAAATGCAGATGCGTTGTCACCCCTGAGGACTGAGATAGAACGCCTTGTTTCCAGTTAATAGGGTCTCCGGTTCTCTACATTCACCATACAAAGCACAGCAGCATTAAGCTGCTACTTTACGCTGATCTTCTGCAAGAGCGCAGTCCTTCCCCTGTCAAGCCACCATGTGCTCGGTAATGCAGGAAAGTTCGTGAGAAAACCTGTTTGTCTGACAATTTAAATATTTGTGAGACATTGATTTAATCTATGAGAAGGCTTATATTGAGCTGTGGAATTGTGAAAACGGTAAAGACATCTAATGTCCCTTAGTTACAGCAAACGGTACAAGCTAATTGGTCCATACTCCCTCAGAAAAAAAGGAGACCTGTACCCAACACGGAACGAATGTAGGCAATTTTTTTTCTTTGGTAATGGATTCGTTCTCATATAATTTTGCTGGTTTCAAGTTCATTAAGAATTATCCTTTCAAATAATTTGTTTCAAAACTGCTTCACATTATTGATGCGTCATTTTCCGAAGATTTTAACGGCAGCTTGAGCCAGCAGATGCCAGCCAATCGATGACGAAAGTATCTCAAGGCAACTAAGCGACTTTTTGTCTTGATGTTCACGTCACAATCGGAGGACTAGTTTCATTATTTTCTCTAATAGTTCACATGCACAGATATTCAAAACACAAAACCTACCATCTAACCACTTTGACATAGTTAAATCCACTTCTAACCATTATTTAACCAATAATACAGAAGCAACCATCTGCAACCGGTCACGTTCCCGCCAAAACAACGTACTGTAACATTTACATTACACAGTAGATAAAACGGGTCGGGTCTAAAAAGTCTTAGGGATAGATGTAATGATATATGTGAATACGGCTTAGGGACCTTCAAGAAACGAATCTACCTTTTTTAATATGCCGGCATCGAACCTGTTATTCCTCTGGTGAATCAGTTGTTCATGGGCGACGGTTCCATCTTAGTCCTCAGGGGTAACAACGCATCTGAATTATGATTCTTTATCGAAGTTAAATATAGATATTTGTGAGTCACAGGATTCACTCACAGGAGTCACATTACGTAGACTGTGTGCTCGTTTGTTACCCTAATCCTATCAACAAAATAGTTCTGCGACTTCGTACCAGCTGCCAACAAAAGTTTGGGATCAAAATTAAAAGACGCTTTTGAAAAAAATATTATCTCCTGTTTTAGTTTCTCTAGCAGCAGTTTTCTGTTAAGGGCTAATGTGGCAATCATGGGAAATTTTATACGTGGTAGAGCCACGCTGCAGCTATATTATGATTATAGTACGAATTGGTCGGTTCGACGGGGGAAGGACCACGCTCTTAGAAAATACCAGCGTCAAATAGCAGTTTAATACTTCTGTGTTTCGTATAGTGAGTGTAGAGATCCGGAGACCCCATTTTACTGGAAACGAGGCATTCCATTTTAGTCCTCAGGGGTAAGAACGCATCTGCATTTTTATTCTTTATCGAGGATAAACGTATATGGGCCACAGCATCCACTTATCATCAGGTGGACTGTGTGCTCATTTGCCATTCTTATTCTATAAAAAATATCCTTCGATGCGGAAAATTATGTGGGGGTGTATCTTAAGCTGTAGATTTTGATAGGTTTGATAGGTTAGTTCGAATTGTGCTTTATGCTTCTTACGATCGTAAATGTTTTCGTGACACTTCTTGCAACTCGCAAGATAATTGATTAACGTGACTGCTGAGTTTCTCTACATAGTAGGGTAGTCGAATTTCTTTTTCTAACGTGGGTAGTCCTAAATGTCTTTCAAAACGTATATTCAGTAATTTCAGATAGTGGTCTCTTATAACCGTCATTATCTGTTCGTTTTCCCGAATCTCTGTTTTAATGTCTTTGAACCAGAAAGGCCACATTTACCAGCTATTAAAGCAGCATTATGTGAAGTAATAGGCCTCTTACATGCACCTATTTTCTTTATATTAATTTAAAGGGTTATGTGTTACCTGGTGGTAAGTGTACGCCGTGGCCTGTCACACCTCAGGAGTAAGATGGAAAGCCTCGTTTCTACTAAAAAGGGTGTCCAGTTTTTTACATACATCATACGGAACACAGCAGCTATGAGCTGCAATTTCATGCTTATATCCTGTGGCAGTATGGTCCCCCCACAGTCGAGCTGACCCATTGGTGATTCAACCACGATATAGCTACAGTGTGGCTCTATCACGTATAAAACCTTTGTCGCTGCTGCTCGGCGCCTGTGTATTTTGCCTGTATTGTAAACAATATGGTTTTATCAGCATCTATCGGAAGATTTTTCTAACATTTCCGCGACACTCGAAGATAAAATGTGATAATAGGTTCTCTTACACTGCTACTACATGGTATCTACTTTGTTTAAGTAAAAAAAATTACTTTAATACTTTTTTTAACAATTTGTATTAATGCAGAACATACTACATCAAAATCTTAT